TCCACCTGCCCGTCCCCCACGGGCCTACTGTGTGCCCGCTCGTCAGCGCTCGGTCCTTACGGTAAATCGCAGGAGCGTGCGCCGTGTTGTGAACAATGAGTGACTTTCTCTACCGTCTAGTTCAGCTGCATTTCTGAGAGAGAAAGACCAACCTGTCACCCTGTGTCAGAGACACGCCCGTCTGCAACATAGTCAGGAGCCGGCCAGTAATTGAGGGAATTAGTTTAAAAAGGGAAATCATATGAAATGGTCCATGCATGTCATCAACATGTGATTTCTACTTATGACACACACGCGCCGCAGTCATCGGTCTCAGGTCCAGGGCGGGGCCTCCTCTCTGAGGTGCTTCTTCGGATTGAGGTTCTGCCCCTCGTAAACCACGTTTATGGGCATCGTCTGGCCTGTGCTTGACATTCATTCTAAGTGACTCAGGGACTTCAAATGCCCCGTGCAGCCCACGGGAGAGAGACTTGCTCTAGATTCCTACCATGTTTTCCACTCTGTAATTTTCCATTCACACCTATTTAGCATCTTTTTAAAAAACAACAACTCATTTTTATCACGTCTTTCCAAAGCACTGGATTTAGTTTAGAAACATTAGTCTTCACATAATCTTGTTACTGCTTTTCATAATAGATAGAGGCCCGGTGCATGACATTTGTGCACTGGGGTGGGGGAGTCCCTCAACCCAGCCTGCACCCCCTTCTCGCAGTCCACAAGTCAGACATCCCCCAGGGTCCTTAGTGCTGCCACAGAGGCAAGAGAGGCTCCCACCACCGCCTCTGTGCTCGCCGGCCGTGAGGGACCGCACTGACCACCAGGGGCAGCTCCTGCGTTGAGTGTCTGCCTCCGGTGGTCAGTGCATGTCATAGCTACTGGTCGTTCCGCTGTTTGGTCGGTTTGCATATTAGCCTTTTGCTATATAGGATGATTGTATTGTATCTCTAATGCCAGTGAAAGAGGCATGATTAGACTTAGGGAGACGCCCCGCTGACCTAGAGCTCACTTGTGGGGGGAAGAAGTGCACATGCTCAGTGGGGGACATGGCCTCAGCGAGTGTGGTCGCCGTGGAGAGCGCTGGTGCACCTGGCCGAGGGACAAGGTGGTGGTTCCCACACTTTGCCGCCATGAGAAGCGTGGAGAGCTGTTCAGTGACTCCTAGCGCCCAGGTCACACCCGGCCAATCACGTTGAAGGCGTGGGATGGGGGCCAGGCGTCCGGGTTATATATATATATATTTTAAATATAAAGAGGCTAAGACTCCGTGTTTAATTCTAATAACACTTCTTTTAAAAATATATGTTTTTTATTGACTTCAGAGAGAAAGGGAAAGGGGGAGAGGAAGGGAGAGGCAGAGAGAGATAGAAACATCAATGATGAGAGAATCATGGATCGGCTGCTTCCTGCTCGCCCCACATTGGGGATGGAGCCCACAGCCCAGGCACGTGCCCTGACCTGGAATCAAACCATAACCTCCTGGTTCATAGGTCGAAGCCCAACCACTGAGCCACGCTGGCTGTGCCATACGTGTTATTCTTAAAGGTTCCAAGGTGATGCCAATGGGCAGCAAAGGTTGAGAACCACTGGGTTAGGGGGAGGGAGGTAAAAGAGGCCCATTGCTGTATAGACAGCTCTGGGCGTTCATCTTACGCTCAGCATTCATCTTCTATGTGATCTCAGGCCATTTACGTAACATCTGTGTGCCTAACCTTCCTCATCGGCACCCTGGAGCCGGTTCTGGCATGACCGGTCGTTGTAGGAATTGAGTGACAGCAGGAGAATTTCGCGTTTCCTGGCACCTGCAGGTGGTCAGGAGCGCCCGGGACAGTGGTGGGGGGTGGGCAGGGTTGTATGTTGCTCTGTGGGGCAAGTACAGCCTGTGAGGAATTTGGTTCGGCCAAAGACAACTTAAAATACCCACATTGGACGACAACAAAGGATTCCTCAGGGCCGACTGAGCTATGTTCCTGTAACCCTGCACTGTGACCCCCAAATCGCAAAAGTCTCTGAGGAACCTGCCGTTAGGCGTCACCTGTTTCGTCCACGGCTCCCAGAGCTGCCCTCTCGGCCAGCGATAGTGACGCGATTCTTGGTCCCAGCGATGGCCCTGCTCGCTCACCTCGTGCCTTCCAGCCGAAACGCCACACAAGGAAGGGGGAGGGCAGGCACCCATGGGGCGAGCCCGCAGGCCCTGGAGGTGCCCCCGCTGGCCACGCACCTGGCTGTGGGAAGGGGTCAGGCCAGAATGCACGGCGTGTGAGACTCAGACCCTGTAGTGGGTGGAGCCGCGCCCCTTCCCCGTGGCTGCCTGGCCTGTTGGTCCGAGTCGTGCAGGTGTAATTCCCGGCGTTTCGTAACGTCCCTCAGCACAGCCCACACTGCGCCTTTGTTCTGTTCACTGCCTGTGCGTCAGGCACTTGATTCCATTACCTCAGACATCTCTGCCCTTTAATCTGCGGTGCACGTGGGATAGCCGAGCTGCTGTCTATATAATTACGTTGCAAAACAGATGATATTTTGCTTTAAAAATAACTATTTTCCTTGCGCGGTGCCGTGACCTGACCTGGCAGGATAGGAAATGGGATAAAGAGGAGGAACATAGGACATCTTCCCTTTGAAGGATGTGCTGTTGGACACACTGGGCGGTAAACAAAGCATCGCGTGAGAGTGTGAAGTGTTCTCTGCTGTAGATGCGCCGGGTAACGAGGGCCGGAAGGGAACGCCTGCGATAGCTGGGAACTGAGGCGGGGGCGGGGCAGGGGGAGAGCCGAGGTTAGGGCTAGGACCCAGGTCCCCGGATGTCTTGCCCTGCAGCATGAACCCTCCCTCTCCAGGCAGCCCTGTCATGTGGACCCGCCTGCAGATCCGCGGATGCCCAGACACTGCACTCTCCCCCCCCCCGCCCCCGCACATACACCAGGACCAGACGGCCACACCCACCCTGGGTCAGCTTTCTCTACCAACCCCATCCCCCCTGCCCCCACTTGCCGGTGCCCACAGGAAGCTTCCATGCCACCTCTGCCGTGTCCGTGTCTCTTCCACACAGAGGAGGGGAAGGAGGTGGAAACAGGAAGCTACGGGGTGGGCAGGTGGGGGGTGTGAGCTGGGCACCTGGACAGGTGGGGATGCAGAGGCCGGGGGAACGAGATGGGGGAGGGCGGGTTTATAATCTGGTAAGATTTGTTACATGTGTGCACCCACAGACCAGCACACAGCCCGGAGTGCACATACCCATCACCCCAAAGTCCCTGGGGCCTTTGCGATCACTCCCCCCAGCTCCCCTCTCTTCTCCCTTCCCACAGGCACCCACTGGCTGGCTTTAGCTCCTCTACATTCGTTTGCATTTCCCAGGATCTTACACGAATGGAATCTAATCTTCGAGTCTGTCCTCTGTGTCTTTCGTCACTTCGCACACTTACTTGGAGATGCGGTCATTCTGTGGCACTTGTCCGTAGTTCATTTATTATATCTCTGAGGGACAGCCCA